ATTTAGTCTTCAACTCAAGAAATTTTCTTTCATTTTTCCGGTCTACGATCAATGGCTTGCAGGCATACCCATTCCATCAAGTACAATGACTTTCATTAACACCCCCATGATTAACGAACAAACACTTTTTTGCCAACAAAAAATACTGATTCCTGCTAAGGTTTCGAGGTGGAAAAGAAAGATAAATGAGGTAAAAAACAAGGGACGTAAAGAATAATATATATTAAAACACTGGTACATTTTCACGGAGGGCGAAATTCAAAAGAGGCCCCTAACCCAAAATTTAGAACACGGCATTGTTGAAAGAAAATTGAACTATCTTGCAAACCCGACAGCGTTAGTTATGATTACCCTATGATGAATGAATTTCAAAAATCCAAAACGAGTCATCTTAAAACAGGTTTGATCCCTTTTACCATCATCACGAATGAATACAAAGGGCCAAGGCAGAGTCCCAGGAAACCGCACAATGGACTCCAAATTATTCCTACATTAGCACCTAATATCTACCCGCCAATGGATATACATCCCACTTTTACTTTGCAGCAGTCAAAACCTTCATGCCAAGGCACCTCTGTCATACCAATAAAAATTCTCAGGACAATGGAGGAAAGGACTGCTGCACCTGTTGATCCATCAACTTCTAGGCAACAGCACTCCTGGTTTAAAATCATTGAAGTTTAGCTTTCCACCGCAAAAAATTTATTTCTATATCTACGAGTCCAACATCTCATCCTGGACTCATTGGAGCCCATAAGCCCTGAGGAATAGAAAAGCATTCTTTTGTCTCTTCTTCTTCTCTCTGAGCAAGCAGCTTTTCGGCATATAGATCTTTATTGTCCTGCAAAGAAAACCCAAGCATTACATAGGTGTTAATAACCTTCCATTTGCACAGCGTTCAGTAACATTATTTGCCAATTCCATATTCATTTTGTCTTCACGTTTTTTTTTTTTCCCAAGCATGAATAATTGGGCACAAGTGTTAACCTGAGCCGAAAAACTCCTTCGATTGCACAAGGAAATCACGAATGTGATTCTTAAATATGAGAGGTCTTTCTTGACTCAAAGAGTCCTTAACAAATTGGCGACCTGAAAAATGATCAATTTAGCCACATCCAATGACAGCAGTGGCAGGAAACAAGCAATGGAAATGAAACGTCTTTTTATTTTTCACCTCTGATGCTGGTCATGTTAGGGAAAGATGCACTCAAAAGTTTTAATAGTGAATTCGCGACCAAACATGGCTTACTGTGATATGGATAAGGAACTGCTGTAGCATCCCATTAAAGGTCTCTGTCAAATGCACCACTCTCAACCTGAAATTGCAATACAAATTACAACAGCTCTTTTGCCTCACGCTAATCAAAGACAAAAGACAGCAAGGCACTAAAACCCAGACCAAAACAAGTGTTTTTGTAACACCAAGACATGCAACTTGAAGCCAGGTTTGTGAAAATGTGTCCGTCAAGACTGCAAAAATATTTTCCTGTCAATAGTCGTAAGTACGTCCGGTTAGAAACTGATTCAGAACTCGAAGGCCTGGTTAAAATTCTACAAAGAAGTTTGCACATAAATGAATGGACTGTTGACGGTAGGAAAGAAACTGAAGGATTAAGCAAAATACATGCCTGAAGTTCCTTCAGCATCTCCAAAAAGAGATTCAGCACTGTTTCAGCGATGTTTCTTTCTGTATGCCTTGAACGGGCCCATATGATTGAATCCATTACTAAGCTTTAGTGCTGATTGCCAGAGAAGAGCAAACGAAAAGAATATTAAATACATCCCAACAATAGTTTATAACAAAGATAAAAGTGTAACACCAGGAGCAGGAAGAAGTGTTCATATATAACAAGAATGTACAACTAAATCCAACAATTATATTCAATATATCTCGTAAAAAAATGCAATAACACTACCAGAAATTTGACAAGATGCAGGGGATACAGAAAGTAAGCTGCACCTTTTCTTCAAGAGTTACATAGGGGCCAGATTCATATAATGATAAGTGAATTTAAAAAATTGGTGTGTTTGTATAAAACCAATATATATTGAATGAAATAATTCAAATACAAAACCTGACTTGACAAACCGGAATTAAAGCAGGGAAAACATGGGGCTTTGCAATGGTTGCTCTAAGCAATTTGAAAGAACTTCAATCGGATGCTCTGAGTAAATCTTCAAAATTTTTGGTTATCATTGCGTTTGTGCATTAACCAGAAAATCAGCCAAGGAAAGTATACATGGAAGTTCAAGAAATTTATCGTGCCAATAACCAGATGGCGGTCAGCAAAACAAGGTGTAAGAAAGTCAGGAGCATTTAACTTAGGTTACACTGCTCATGTTGAATTTGATTATTCGCCCTAAATTAACTTTCGCCATTTTTCAATTAACCAGTGCACAAGCAACAATTTGAAAGTTCTCCATAAGACATCAGGACTTGGAGAAACACAGTACATCCTTTTAAATAAAATTAACCATCCATACCCCTTTCCCCCAGTAAATTTAAATAAGAACGCTTCGCTATTTGAACGATAAAAGATTACAAAAAATTCGAGTAATCACAAGACATTTGGAAAAGAAGAGGAACACATCATGAATAACCTAAAAGATCAGCTCCAGGCAAAGATTATGCACCAATATCAAGTGGATCTAATCTTTAGGCATCTAATTTGTAAATCAAATGAGACCCTAAGGCAAACCACTATAGCCGTCCATAAATGCATTGTGCAATTTCTGAAACAATAATTTTTCAAAAAGATGTGCAGAGCCCTTGTATATTTAATGCATAAGACAAAGATCATCAATAGTATAAAATCAGCTCCCCAGGCAAGATCTAAATAATGTATAAATACATCATTTTTGGCCTTTACAACTGGTATTTCAAGATTAAAAGCTCCATATTCAAGACTCAGTACAAACTTTGTGCAAACAATACAAAACAATGTCTTAAGCCATTATTTCTAAACCAGACTATTATTACTTCTGACCATTTGGACCCATTTCACACTTACATAAAACCAATATAGTAGATAGTCTCGACATTTAGTTGCAATTAGGGTGATAAAGATTTTCATTAGAGGCTAACAAAGCAATCCAAAGCATAACACAGGTGTGCAACAAAAAAACTTGCAGCTTTATTAAGGCCTATATCCTCAAGAAGAGCATTCATATCCAGTTGGTTTTATTCATTTAGTGCTTTTTTTCAAACAATAAAAGCTTCAGCCCTATCTAAACCGGCACTTCTTATTTCCGACAGTTGGACCATCTTACCACTTATTTAATAAAAATTGATTGCAGTAGATACACTTAAATTAGTTGCAATATTCAAAGGTCAATATTAAAAAATTTTCAATACAGGAACTAACAAAAAGCACAATAAAAGGTTTGTCTACATAAGTGTGCAAACAAAAAAATTAATAGCTTATTAAGCGAATATCCTCACTCAAGGGTACCACTGGAACACTGCTTACAATATACGGGCACATTCATCTATCATTGCAGCTTTTATACCTTGAAGAGAAAAAGGAAAACTAGGAAATTAAAAAAAAAAGGAATTTGGACTTCTCAAAAAAAAAAAAAAAAAAAAAAAAAAAAAATGGAAGCACCGCTATGAAAGCAACAAACCAACATAATAGTGAAAGAGAAATAGTTCCCCTTTTCATCTCACCGTAAATTGATCATGCAATACAGCAGGAATGAAAAAAGGTACTATTGAACTACAAGTATCCCAAAGTTTACAACGCTCAAAACCAATGGCACAGATATCCCAAATTTTTAATCTAAGCAATGTATTGCATCTTTCAAATTTCATTCTATGAAGGACTGTTTGAGCATCAACAGGCATTAAAGGGGATTCTCAGAAAATTAAGCCCCTCAAGGTCTTACTTTAGAGTTACAGGTTCAGAATATCGACTTTAACAACAATTCAGGAAAAAATCCCACTGTTCTAACTAAAAAAAGAGGTACACACTGAAAGGGGGAAGAAAAATGTAACAGGATATATACATATTATTATAAAAAGGAAGCATACTTGTTTAATAATTGTTTGCAAAAAAGTGAAAGAACTTCTGATTCTCTTCAGCATCAGGCAAATTTCCTAGCGTAGTCACCAAGAAACGGATCCTCATTGGGAACCAAATTGCTCCCAATCTGTGGTTGGTTCTTCAGCCTTGTCAAAAATGTCTCAATCAGTTTAAGCGTCTCTCTTTTAACAGATCTGTTCCACAAAACGCACTAAATTGTTAAAATGTTTTGTGGGTTCATTAGGGACATTTAAATTTCAAAATGACTAACTGACCTTAGAAGTTTCACATTAGGATGTTTAGATGCCATAAGGACCTCTTCTGCAATTGCTACTTGATATAAGCTCCCCACTATACATTTCTGCCAAAAAATCGAATTTCTACCCAACGTTGTATTTAGCTATCATAACCAATAAAGTTTTCCCAGTATGAAAAAGTTTCAAGAACTGGAATAAATCAATAAATCCGTTACATACCTATACCACATTAAGCATATCCAAAAAATTAGCGGAGATTTGGGACAAGAAGTAGTTCCAGAGAAGTAAGCAACACTTGTATTCGTCTGCAAAGAAAGAATAGCTTTGAATAAATTGTATGATTATTACAGAGCAATTACCACTAAGCAGATTTAGTTTCAACTGCTATATCATCATGGATCAAAATAGAGGAATTTAACCCTCACTGAAAACTTGTTTGCACCAAATTAAAGGACACAGAGTAAACCGACAAAAAAATCATGAACAAAAGAAATACCGAATATAAGGGCATCAAGGCCTGTTGTGATGCATTTATCTTTGGTTTGGAGACTATAAATTGGGAATGAAAGAAACAGTCGATGTTTATGACAGGATCAGATTATTTTTCTCATTATATAGTTCAACTTTTTATTGACAAAAATACATTTCCCCATCCCACTTCCGATACTTCCATTTATTCAAACCCCCCAAACAAAGCCTTAATGCCAGATCAACATCAAAAGAGCAATTCAAAAGCAAATCTCTTTCAACAAATGCCTTGATAGATCATAGGAAAGCCAAATTGAATAAGATCAACACCCTGCAGTATTATTGAGAACAGTCCGAATCACTTCTTGATCTTTTTTAGAAAATCACAACTTTGCCGTGTTTCGCCCTATAATTTCAGCCCATTTCTGTAGAGGGGGTTAGATTCATTCAGCAGCCCAACACTACCAGCAAAGACTTCGAAAATTGAAAAAGGTTGAAAGAAGGGCGTGAAAAATGATATCAAAACAAAATCAGAATCCATGGTAACATCTTTTCACAAAGAGCAGACAGTTAAAAACAATAATTGCATTATCATTTTATAAGAATTGGCTTATCAAATTGCCTCCTCAATTTTCCACCTATAATTTATCAAATCTTCAAAAATTTAGAAGCACATTGGAATGAGAGAAGGAGGGTTTTTTTTTTTTTTTTTTTTTTTTGGGGGGGGGGGGGGGGGGGGTTGGCAGTTCATAATGAAACAGAACCTGGTTTGGGGAGATCCATCAACTCTGCAAGTATTCATCTCGCTTCTGTGGATCAGATTCTGGCTTGAATCATATGCCCTAACCTGAATTTAGAAAAGCAAAAGGCAACATTAGGAATTTATTAATAAACAAATTTATAGGGTGCACAATTTCACCATCAGGACACCCAACATACAGATTCATAAGAACGTATGTAATCTGGTGAGGCTCGAGATCGCAAACAGTAGTGGGAGGACCCGTTCAGAAGTTCAGACACAAATGGTTCGCTTTTCTCCAACCGTGAGCAAGATAAGCAGGATTCCCAAATTATCTTTCTTCTGATGCCAATAGATCCAATGAAGAGACATTGAAGTGCAATTCTAGCAACAATCAGAAACAATTGCAAACACAAGAATTAGAAGTTACCTGTACAATAACAATTTCCGCTCTGCATTTCTGAACGATTTTCAGAATGTGTCACAGGCCATTCTAGAAGACATTAACAAACGTCATAATCAATGATCTACAGGCTATTTCAATTTATAGAGACCAAGTGTCATGCAAGATAATAAATTCTCAATATGCAGCATGTCCCAATAACAGCATTGCAAAGGACCACAGACAGCCAAAAACAACCTGGAACTCCAGGATGTGTTTCATTGCATGAACTCAAACATTATTGACAAAACAGTTTTTCAAAAAAACTTCCAATGGGCTCTTAAGAAATCGTGATACATGCCCAACACATCACCTGCAAATCAAAAGAAAAAAAAAATCAAGATTAAGCCAACTTACCCAATCAAGGTACCTTAACAAATTCCAATTAAAATACATGTATCAGTGTGCCACAATGGTAGAACACTTACCAACATCATCACAATATTATTCTTACATTGATGTTACTTAGCATAACACTTTTTGTTATCTTTCTCCCTTTTGTTGATTTCACAACAAATTCAATAATCACGAATCACCTAATCACCAAAATCTGTTCTCCTGCAAAGAAGCCAAGATCAGAGACACTCAGACTTTGCTTCATACAAATTGGAAACCAAATCAAGGCAATTAAGCACTCCATAAGACAGTTAATGGAATGTCAAAACTGCAAAACAGGGAATATATCACCTTAAAGATTAACAACAAGCACAGAGGTACAATAAAACACAGACTATCAAGTCAAAAATGTTAATTTGCAACATTACAAAAGGAGAAATTAGAAAACATAGACCAGATACCTGCTCTTCCCATCATGGAACCTGAGATAGATCACAATGGGGCGCCCCAGGGCAAAGTAGTGTTCAGAGATTGTTTCCAACTCCAAATTCCTCCCCCACTTAGCTGTTTTGCTTAATTTCTTCAGCATCTGTGATGTTTACAAGAGGGGAAGCAGAAAAGGACCAACTTATAAGATGTTAGACAAAACTACTGAAAAAGCCATTTTCAATCCTCATGCAGTTCAAGGGTAAAGCTTAGCACCAGTACATTCAGTATAAAACTATCTTTTCCTTTTTTCTGGCTAAAATTACCTTACATATTTATGCATTGACAGAAAACAAACTCGTCAAACCTTATTAAAGATTGAAGAGCAAATGAATAAATATTTACAATATAAACTATTCTCTATGATACTCAAACATTTAATTTCAACTTGTCTGATAATGGACTACATGATCGAGCAGCTCACCGCATTAAATGCTTAAGCACAACAAAATTAAATTAAACATTGACCTTGCATAAATATAAAAGAGGGGTAAAACAAGAATAGATCTGTGCTTCATCGTTTACAATTAATTGATAATAATTAACAATAAATAATGGAAAAAAGGTTCCTTAAAATATTGGTGATTCACATATAATGAACTAAAGAGGAAAGCCATAAAAGACAACTATTGTCTGTTCACAGAAATCATCTTCCAAGTTGTGCCAAAGCATACCTGCTTTTCGTGTCCTCGTGATCAAATGGGACAAGTAGATCAAAGTTTCCCTTCTGATTCTGCATAATAAATGTTGATCAGCCATAGCAACCAGTAACTTTAGTTTAAAGAGACCCAGGAAAAAAGGAAAAAAAATAGAATCAATAATAAAATCAAAAGAACTTTTGATTTCTAGATCGTTAACTTTTTGAAAGGAAAAATACAAAACTTTATTCTTGGGCGACAGTTTTGAATTTGACCTCTAAGGGACATGAAAACAGATTTTATTAGTCTATGCCCCAGACATTGTGGAAGTTAATAATATAACTAAACAATTCAATTGCAAATTTTTCAATATCAACTTCATATATTTAAATAACCCGATGAATAATATACATGGTTCAAAAATGAGAAATATGATTTTCACTGCTTGAAAATACAACAATCATGATATTATACACCCCGTCACTTGAATAATTTGAGACAGAATCATAGATTCATATTGCAACAAGGAGATAAAGATTTCTCACCTTAATTATTGGAACAATGGACATCATTGTCCTTCATGGTTCCCGAACCAATCATTGCCATTTTCATTCTTTTCTTTCTTCAACTATCAGAAACCTCTTCGGGACTTAAGCCATACGACAAATCATAAGCAATTCTCAACTTTACATTGGATTAGCATAAAGTTGCCTCCGCTGCAATATTTTGTGAACCTATGCCATCTTACCAATTACCGTGGAGCAAAGGCATCTGATTCAAATAAGATTAGACCCACCAGCCTGAGGTAACGTAACTTCAATAAATAGCAGGCAGGTACTCCAAAACAAAAGAATCAGAAATTCAAAAACCTACAAACATGCACTATCTCATTTATATGTAAAGAAAAGCATTGCATATAGGTAATTTTGGGAAAACAAATTTATGATTAATGAAATCCAATGAATATTGGCCAAGGATCTGTAGGAGGACCCTAACAAAACGATAAAGGGCAGTTTCAGCTATGCTATATAAGATATTGCTCACCCGCAAGGGAAAAATTGAAGGAGAGACATATCTGGATGACTGAGCATGGATTGCATAGCACAACACTGGCTTATGGTTGCGTTCTGTTTCTTTTATTTATTCTTTTTTTTTTATGTAAACAGCTGCTAGCTGGGACACACTATATTGAAAGGAAAACCTAGGGAGTTATGTTCAGGAAAAAAAAAAAAAAAGGGAAAGGCGGCAAAAGGCCGCAAAACTATGTCCAGAGGGCCAGGACCTCAGTGAGGCCACCCACCTGGGCATTTGAGTCACAAGCCCTTGAGCCCTATAGTTTAGGCGTCCCTAATAATTTGTGTCAATCTTACATGACAATAATAAAAATGCCCATACCTGCAGTTCCCATTCATTGTTTGCAGTTACTGCAGGGGATTTATCCAAAATTATGATGTTGCCTACAAACAAGCTCCAAAAACCAAGGAGTTTCAGCTAGTCCAAAGCCTAATACCTGTAAAAATAATTTTATTGCAGCAATAAGAATCGCCAAACATTAATGATGTAAATCTGATTTTCAGAGAGAGTCAATAAAAGGAAGAGAAAAAAGGATGAGGGTTGTTAGTTAACAGAACATTATACCTAAAAACCTCTGTGTCATTCAAATATGAGATATTTAATGTAAATACTTCAAGACCATCAGTACGCAGATATGTTCTCTGGTGTAGGTTTCCCAAAACCCAGAATATGAGCCTGCAAAAGTAAGGCAAGTCATCCAGAAATTGGCCATGTTCAAATTCCTCAAGCAGCCATAATTTCATGTGGCCCATACCAGAGGCAAAGGTGCAAGGCAAAGAGCATCCTTCGCGAACTCACAATTACAAATTTCAATTTCTGGATTTTAAACTCATAAAATAACAAGAGTAGCATCCCAGGATCATGGCAGGCACACCTATAAACATAGCGCCACTGTTCTCTGCCATACCGTTCTCAAACATGGTCTAAAATAGAGGCTTAGGTAGACACTAATTGAAGGCACAGAGAGAAAAGTTTAGAACTTTCCCATAAAGATGCAAGGAACAAGATCCCATTTAAATGGACCCACAAGCATATCCCTTAGCAGAGCAAAAATCTTTAGCTGAATTAAATGAAAGGAGCAAAGCACCAGTTTGTTCCAAGCAATGAGCAACAAGAAGGTATGACCTTGAGAGGCATCCATAAATACACATCTATTGCATCGCATCATGGATAATACAGGGATATTTTTCATTTTCGCTCCAAAGGAAAAGACCACCAGAGACTTTGCACCCAACAGACCTGCCAAACTGGTCACAGTTTTCAAGCTGGCAGACCTATGACACAAGGCATGTCCAATGTTGTCTCAAGAGGTGCCTTTAAATATACAACCGTATATTAAATACCCAACTTAGTATATTTTAAAAAGACTTGTTTTTATCTGTAATCTGGGTGAAATGCCAGACCACTGAAGTAGTAACAAATTATTATCAAATGGAGGTTAAACTAATCAATAATGAAATGATAATAACCCTGCCAAATTTACACAAATTTCAATTATACTTACAGTGGCATCCCCTCTGACCTGAAGCCTTTCAGTATCTAAAAAGGGCATCTGCCAAACTCGAACTTGGGAAAGTAACTTACCTTGATAAAATGAAGTGGAAAAAACAAACGCCAAAAGTTCTGAAATAAATGCCTGAAGAAGCAAAAGAGGAGAGGTTTGATAATCAGGAACATATGTGTTTGCCCAGTCTTTCAAAGAGTTTGGAACTAAAATGGTACTAAATCTGAAAAACACGTGAACCTGTTCCTCACCAGATCCATGTGCGATATGCCTCAGGAATGTATGTTGTTAGGAGGGGGAATGGACCTGAAAATTTCAACCAGAATTTAATCGCACAACAATGCCATATTTATCTCTTGGTTACTAGAAAATCCATAATCAAATAGTTAGATAAGGAGGATTCCCGTTTTTGGAATAAAATGCCCAGCCACAGCCTGTAATTGGACCATGAAGAACTATACTCTTGACATACATGCACAGATTATAAAGAAGTCATCCAACAACTTTAGAGCTTGCAACCATGCGAATTAATAGATATTGAGAAACAATAAACCTGGACAACTCATTCAGAGAGGAACACTTATGTTTATATCTTTTTCCATTAATGGTAAGTTGTATCCTCTGCAAACACTGAAGGGTGAGGATTTCGATTTATGCTGGCATAGGGAAAAAAACTTCAGGGAGTGATTTCCAGCATTATGAAATGTCAGAGATATATCTCTCTCTT